TGCGGAATATAAAAATATTAAGAATGAAGTCAACATAATATATGTTAAAGATTTTAAAACAGTGCACACATACCCGTACAGTGCAAACGTTCTGCAGTGCTATTATTTGCTGTTGAAGAGATTTTTCTAATATAATATCACAAATTATACTTTGTTTTTTTGGGATAAAATTTTCGTCGAAAGACATCCTCAACCAACGTGAACTTATATGTAACCCGAGACATAGTTTTTACTTCCAAAGGGAGGTTGGTTTTGGTAAAAAATGTCCTTCTTATTCATTGTTGCGATAGAAACACAAAAGTTCCAAAAATAACACTTCAAAACTCGAAAAGAGCGTGTCATTCTATTTACACGAGGCATCGGGTTTAACGATGTGTTTAAACTCAAAGTGATTTTAAGATGATCAGTTAAAAAATATACAGTACTAAAGAAGTAAAGATATGTCAATATAACAAATGTAAGTACGTCGTAGATTTAAAGAAACTTTGAAGTTTTTATTATAATTATGGTGTGATAAAAACATTCCAATGGGTTATTTTGTGACATTAGATTTGGATGAAATGTGTTTTTTAAATTTTAAAAGAGTAGGACAAATTGACAAAGCGTCAAGATCTAAAAGTTGTCAAATCCTACTGGAAATTGGATATTAGAGAGTCTTTATCATATTCTTAAAATAGTGTAAAAACACTATTTTTCACATTTTAAAAAAAATTCAAAAAAATTTCAGCGCTGCGTGGATTGAGTTTACAGTATAGAGAATTATGGGCAAATAGTGCAGAATAAAGGGCAAGAAAGTTAAGAATAGTAAAATATTTAAAAAAAAAACAAACAAAAATAGAATAAAGAATAATGGGGTGTAAATATAAAGAATATAAAATTATATACAAAAAATTTTAGAAAAGTAAAAATGCCAAATAAACATGTTCACCATACACAACCCAATGAAATTGTCGACAAAAAAAAAGAAAACGTTTTACAAAACATGTACATTTAGCCAACCAGCAATCGTGTTATAATCTGTTGACCTTAAATCGAGTGTTCTATGAAAAGAACAAACCAAGAAACACGGTGCCTCGTGATGACCTTATAGTGTATTGCCCTAGACCAGACGACAAGTCAACCTTTTAACAGTTCTGCGTGTGGAAAATTCCAGTGTGTTGAAATATACATGCAAGACCAGGACAATGACAGCAATCGAATGCGTTAATTATAGAGAGGAATTCAAGTAAATATATTTATTAAACTTCTCTATAATGTATCATGCACATTACTATTTGATAAAAGGGGTTAACAAATGTTTTTCATTTGGACAACCCTAAGTAAATCTAAATAAAAAAATTAAAATAAAATAAGATGGAATAAAATAAAATGAAATAGGCAATAAATAGTAAGGAAACAGTTGTTAAAAACTTGTGGGCAGAGTGTTACAGTAGTGAAATTTATGTTTACGGAAGTTTCAGTAAAATTATTGTATGTTAAGATGGACGCCTTGCAATCTTTATTTAGATGTCGATAAACTGTTTCCTTGTAGGTTTGAACTGAAATGCATTGGCTTAAAGATAGTGCACGGTAAGGATCAGCTAAATGCCAAAGCGGTGTATTCCTTTGCAGATGTATATAATTCCAACGTTTTTTTTTATCGTACGGTGGAGCCTTTAAGTATCTATCCAACGAATTTCTCAAGCAATGCGGTGAATTTGTTTAAAAAGGATTTTTGTCAGCTTTACGCACATCCATACAGAAATGGCCCAACTTGATCTAGTTATAATGACTTTTTTATGTGTCATAATGTTCGAAACCTTAATACATTTTCTTTTCTTTTTAAATACTCCCGAAAAATAGTAGCAGTTGCTATGTTCTGCTTTACAGTTTTATCAGCACTCATTTCCAAACGTTTTTGTTCGATTTCTTCAACAGTTATATCGATAAATCATCTTTCACCAGGCTCCATCTTTAGAAAGCATCAGCTCACATTAACTATGCACCACACGGGAAATCAATAGATCATCAGGTTATGCGATCAGTGGGCGGAACATAGACATTAAAAGTGAGGGTCAAAATACGCGGTCCGAGGATGGAGTATTAATGTGTATATTTTGACGTCAGACTTTAAGAAGTGAAATCTATGTCATTTGTGTTTTAGCGTTTTATTAATCATATACTCAGCACGATAAGCATAACAGCACAACAATGTAAGTATGCTTTGACCCAACAAGCATGATTATTTAGACAGTGTTTGCCCTCACTGTTCAACGATTTTCGACACAGTCTAAATATATAATCACGTTAATGGGTCAAGGCATAAAAACTTATAATAAAATACAGAAATGAAAGTCCCAATCCATACCCTCCGACATGTTGATGTTTAAATGCGTTTTTATAAAAAAAAATTATCAAATTTTGCATCATACGACATTGCTAACCAAAACGAGTTAATTTGTATCCGAATGGCAATTCTTAGTTAAAGTTCCAACATAATTTTGGTTTTGGTTAACTATGCCATTCTTGCACATTTTGTGATTAGATACCCCATTTGTGCAATACTCTAAAAAAAAATGCGGTTTTGGGCATTATTCATGCGTTTATATTAGGATGAAGTGTACAGAAATAAGTTGGTGTACTTGACCAACGTTTTATTCATTCAATTTTTTTTTTCGATATACAATGTACCTATGCTGAAATTTTCTATTTAGCTGACATCTCATGATTATATCTACCAAACGTTTTACTCGTTAAAGAAAATATTGTATAAAACATCCTTTCTGTCTTTTTATAAGATGCAAGAGTTAATTTATGTTTTTCATTTCATAGCACACTCTTCCTTTTTTAATGATGCATATCGTTTTTAACTTTAGATTTTAGCCTCCCTTCCCATTGCCACATTGTGTAAATCTTCTTAAGGTCTGTTGTTCTAACATGACGTTATTCCAAGATATCAGCAGATGAGTATTTATATTGTGTGCTGGCATACCCAGTCACGCCTGTTTTCGTTTGAAGCAAGACTTACACTGTTAGGGACGACCATTTGAATCAAATGGGGAATGATAAGGCACATTTTAAAACTAAATATGGCAAAACTTTGAGTACTTTGCTATTTGCATAGCGGCTATATTGCCTTTACATTACAATAGGATAATATATGCCTCAAAATAAATAAGAAAATATGCCAATTCCTAAGTCAAATCACCAATTTGTCCGCATATAGGTGAATTGTACATGTTTTTGCCTACTGTTTATGTAAAAATGAACAGTGTCTACTTCGAAAACGTTTGACCTTTTCGGATTGAGAATCGAATGCGTATCCGTTATATAAGAAAATTAGTAAAAAGCAATTACTAAAAAAGAAATGAAGATACAATAAGACATTTTATATGAATTGTCAGCATATAGGAAAACACCTTGCAGGTTGAATTTTCAAGGAAACTATAAAATGTACTTCATCTGTTTTTTTTTTTTAAGTTTACGGCCAAATTCCTTTAAAATCATGATGATTTCAACCTTCCTATTTCGTAGCTATAGATAGTTAATTTTTCAGCATTTGTCCTTAGAATTGCACAACATATTTGGAATATCCACCAAAGGGAGCTAAAACTGACATCTTTGTTTTCGATCTAAGATGGAAAAGACTTACTTGTCCTCAAATTTGATATAATTCAAATTTCTATAATCTACAACTAAGGGAAGTAATTAAATCAAAACTGCAAAAGTGAATAAAGTACCTAGGATTTTGCCATATAGGCCCTCATTAAGTTGGAAATAAGTAATATTACCTCATCACACAAGAAAGTAAATATTCTTGCGTAAATTTTTGTGCTCGTTTGTCTCACCAAATTTACAAAAAGGTAAAATGTTAAAGACTTCAATTAGACTATTCCTTTAAAAGAAAAATATATGGGTATACTACAAAAAGGTTATCTGTATCATAAAACTTTTAAAAAAAATAGTGGATGACCATTTAATTATGAGGGGAGCGTGCAGTTTTTCTATTACTTTTTGGGACTAGCTGAACATACATATTCTGCCCTTACCATGTATTTGATTGAAAATAAATAATCTGGTCGACCTTTTTGGGTTGTGATAATTGTCGTGTTAAACCCTTATCGGCTGCTCCGATATAATACTGAAGATATATTCATGCATAGAACAAATTTGAAGACTTGTACAAAATTTACAGGTAAAAAAGTACTAAAAATAGTTCTGGTTAACCTATTCTGTTTTTAAACTTTCCCAGGGAAATACCCTTGGGAGACCAATGCGAAATCGAAAGAGTGAATTGTTGTTTATTAACAGATTACCGCCTGGTATATTTCAAAGTTTCGTGTAGTAACGTAAGTTTCATTTTGAATTTGCAAATAGTTAAACTTATTTATTCATTTATATGTCTGTATGTACGTTATAAAAAGACCTATACAAAAACCAAATGACCCCTTAAATTTCAATGTAGGATTGAGAATACATTGTTCGAAAATAAATAAAAACTCTATTCATGTTAAGTCAAATGCCCTTATTAGAAATAAATAGGATAGGTAGGTTATTCAAACATGCAAGTTTTTTCTATTACCTTGATAACGGCCATAAAAAGAGAAAGTCTACACGTGTGGCATAAACGTGTCCCGATTATGTCATCTTGTTCATTTACCAATAAAACTTTAATAATTCAGACTGGTTTGCACGATTGACTTTTTTACATTTTCATATAAAAATCAGCAATAATTGGTTAATTACCAAATAGTAAAAGATAATGTATGTATCCACAACCTGTTTTTATCAGTGTATGCATCCCTTCCGCCCCCCTCTCCGAAAATAGTCACATATGTATATTGAATTAGCAATCTTAGTTAGTACACAGACCACTGGATTATCATGAGAAGTGTAGTAGTCTTGATTCATATTAATATTAAAACAATGAGTTGAATAGTGTATGTGTAGTATAAGTAAAGAAAGTTGTTACACTTTACAAAAGAAAACTAAAAAAGTTATTTTAATTTGTACAGTCAAAGACAATGGCATCTGGACTAACACAAGAGGAAGAAAACTATGTCAGAATGAGCTTGCTACTGACAGGAATATCTCCTCGTGCAGCAAGAGTCTTGTTTGATAGTGAATTTGCTCCAGCATGCTTGAATTCATCGCTGAAAAAGGATTACAACAAATTGAGAGACCTTCAGAAAAAGCGAATTATCAATCAGCAACAGTGGAACTTGCTGTTTCCAAGATTTCCTGGTATGTAGCAGTGATATAGTTACTTCAAATTACATACACAAATCGTAATGAAAACATAATTTACAAATACATTTGGTTTAACGTTATTTACCTAATTGAGGCTTTTGGATATCCTTTTTTAATTGTTTCTTTGTTTGCTATTCAGGAGCATTTTATAGCTTACCATTCACATGATACAGAAAGGCTTTACCTATTATTGAAGTAGGTACAGTCTAATGTAGGTGTTCCGAATCATAAGTCTTTGTCGAAGGGTTGATAATTGGCAATTATAACGAACCCTTTTGTTTTCATATCATACTCAAAAATGAAGTAAAAAGAATTGTAAATGGAGGGTTATTTGCAAGCATTTCATTGAAATTATTAGTATTGTTTACAAAAAATATCTTCTTTTAAAAAAAATTTATTATGAAACAAATATTTGACTTACATTTGAAAAAAAATCTCGGAAGTAATGAATAGCCAGAAAAGATGCATATACAAAAAGATTATGATTTCATTTTCAACTCAAAATAAAAATGCTTTCTGTGTACAGTATATTTCCCCCACAAAATGATTTTCCTCTGAGTGGACAACCATGTATTTACAAAAGAAAAAAATGGAGAGGATCTTTCTTAAATAATTATTCCAGCTGTAAAACTGAAATACATATTTTGCCCCAAGTATTGCTTTGAGCGTTCCTGATGGGGGTAAATAAAAAAAAAAGACCGATTTGTTTATTCCACCTCTTGGAACCCTTGATTCTTTAGTTTTTGTAAGCTGAAATCTAGTAGGTACAATGTAGGTGAGAACCATGTTATATATCAGTCAGTGACAAACATAAATTGGTAGTGAAGTTAAGTCTATTTCAACAAAAAAGTGAAAAACCTACCCGATACAAAAATAAAAATGTTCTACTGCATATTCATAAGGATCAAAATGGCTAATGAACATATGGAGTTTATGTGATTGTATTACTAGTTCTAGTGTAGCCTTTTGTTTTCATTAGTTTTTATCCTATATGCAATGAAATGTTATGTAAAATGTTGTCTGTAGTACTGGATAGGATAAAACTTTACTCATTTTCATTGCATATAAGATAATAACCATCACTGGAATTAAACTAATCAAATTGTCTCCCTTTCTTTCATGTTTACAAGCTTTAGTAACCATGTATCCTCAAGTTGCCAAAATAATTAATAAATTACCAAATAAAAAAATATTGTGATCTGAAAAACCAAAGATATATATTTTTCATGTGTATTACTCAGGACTATTCTAATGCAATGAAACGTAAGATTAGTTTCCTACAACTGTTACATTAAAGGTCAATATGTACTATTACTTACGTATATATCAAGTCTTCTTTCCACTGAATACATTTAAACTCAACTATTTAAAGAAAAATAAAACACAAACTTATGTTTGTTGACTAGCTCGAGTACTGCAAATTGTGAGCTGCCGATTTAAGACAAATGATCAATATAAACATATTATACACTATAAAATGTGAATACAATATCTTTATTGTTCAGGAAAAACACACTCATGTTAAACTTTTGTATTCTTTGAACAACTCAATAACTGAATGTTCCGTGGCCGATCAGGAAAAACCCATTTTGGAAATATGTGTCCTTTTGTCAATGCCGTCGAAACTCTAAGTGTTGGACCTCACTTGTCAAAAGAGAAAAAGAAAACATAACTTTTGTTTATATGAGTATTGAAAATAGAAAAGAAATCGAGTCATTAGGACTCACTGGCTATAAAATATTTGGTACAAAAGTCGAAATACGATTACGTTTGTATAGTGGAATACCTACATAAAAATCAATATATTTATCAAAATATAAACTTATGCAAATCTTTTTTCCTTAAAATTCCTTAAAAAATACGATGTTCACAGTACGAAGTACAGGCTAGAGTTAACTACTAGTATATAAAACTGTCGCTTTCAACCAAATTTTAGCGCCAAACATTCCCACGCCTACACTTACATGTATTACTCATGCGAAAGAAGACAATAAAATCCCGTTATACTTATATGCCTCGGGAATTTTTTTTAGTATTATTTCTACTAAATACATTCAACCTGAACTATTTAAAGAAAAACACAACACTATACATTTATTTCCCGTGCCGGAGGGAGATATGAAGATTTGTTCAACCAAGAATATTCATATTTCACGAGGGCTCTGCCCGAGGGAAATATGATTTTTCGAGGGTGAGCAAATCTTCATATCTCCCGAGGCAAAGGGAAATGAATGTTTTATTCCACTGCCTATGCTTTGTTTACTATCAATTATTATAATATACATTAAATATTATTTTGCATACATTTTTTTCCTTATCCGCTTGTTTTTGTAAGTCAAACTAAACACGACATACCCATTGATAAACAGTGAGGATCAAAATTTAATTATAAGTCTTTTTGTTTTATCGTCTGAAATAAATTTGAACATGATAATGATTTTTGCCATCGCTATTTTAAGAAGAATAAGAAGTTCAAAACGTTATGTACATTAACCGCGCGTAACGTCGCACGAAGTAATCCCGACATTTCAGAGGGGAATATGATCCTCAGAATGGAATATGAAGATTTGTTCAATGACACGTGGGATAGTCTCAACCAATCAAATATTGATTAAACTATCAATATGTTTAAACAGTGGAATAAAAACTTATGTGTGTTGACTAGCTCGAGTACTGCATAGAGCAACAAAGATAGAAAAATATGAAACTACATAAACTACAAGCCTAAATTCTTTGATATGGCTAAATAAAGGCAACAGTAGTATACCGCTGTTCTAAAGTCATACATCGATTGAGAGAAAACAAATCCGGGTTACAAACTAAAACCTAGGGAAACCCATCAACTATAAGAGGAAAACAACGAAACAACAGAAACACTGGAGTGCAACAGAAACAAACGACAATGCAACACACACAGAAACGAACTATAAGATAACAACTGCTATTTTCCTGACTTGGTACAAGACATTTTAAGAAAAACTGGTGGGTTGAACCTGGTTTTGTGGCTATCCAAACCTCCGCGCTTTATGACAATGTTAAGTATACCGCTGAAATGACAACATTACATGACAGGAATACAGATCAAATAAATGCAAGAACACACAAGATAACCTACTATCTACGGATTCGGCTTCATAGCAATCTTTGCCTGAATTTCTCTACCATCTACCATGGCGCTTCCAGCTCCTTTCTTTAACACCTGAATTTGCCGCCATAGTAGCACCACCAGACTTAAGCGAATGCAACCCAAGATTCAATTCAGGTGTAACTAATTTTAATCTCTTGATAACGCACTCCCTAGCAGTAGTGTAACTAATAGGTTTGTGAATACTTATTAAAGCACATTTTTTTCTTACTTCTGTATAATGGTCGAAACAAAAACGTATCACTATCCAAAGCTAATTTGGCTAAACTAACATATCTAAAAAAACATAGCATAAGGACAAGCCAAAGTATGCCCTTTACAAATTAAAATCTCGTCACCTGATCTGTACAAAACAAAATAGACAATAATTTAAGTAGATATTCAGATTGTGATGATTGGGGAATTCATTTTGAAGTGTTTGCCATGCTTGATGAGCTGTGGGGAAAACATTCTATAGACAGATTTGCTACTGATGATAACAGTAAATGTTTTAGGTTTAATTCAAAATGTTGGTGCGAAGGTACGTACTGAAGCTTTTGACGCTTTCACGCAAAATTGGCAAGGGGAAAATAACTGGCTGGTACAACCACCAAATTTGATATCCAAGGTCATTAGAAAAGTATGCGCAGATAGCGCTGACAGTACTCTTGTTGTTGCATTTTGGAAATCAGCTCCATTCTGGGCATTATTACACAATTCGAATTGTACTTTTGTTGAGAGCAAGGTGTGTTTAACAAATGGACATTTAATTGTAAGAGGGAGAGGCACTAATGGTGTTTTCGGAGTATATCCTTTGAATTTTGCACTGATTGCTTTTAAAATCATATTTTGATTGTAGTATTTCTTTTGAACAGAAATGAGTGGTCAAATTGAACCTACAAATAATTCCTTTGTTGAAAGTTTAGTTGAATCAACTAAACGAATTGCTAAACCTGTTGTAAATAATTTTAGCATCCTAACAGAACGTTTTACTACTCTACTTACTGCTTCAAGCTCTCTATATGTAGAGCTTTTAACACTTCCAGATACCGACCAGTTACTAGTCACAGTTATCAAACTGTTATTGGAAATTTCTTAACTACAATCAGTCGTTTTCATAATACAATCAGACTCTCTGTATTAGCTGGGACTACATATCCCCCAAAGCCGACATCTGAAGCGTCAGTATAAGCCATAGAATCACAAAAATCTGACTCATGCAGATTAAAACCCTTTCTATTGAACTTTCGTGAGTTCTCAAACCAAAAATATAGCTCTTCAATAGCAACAGAAATCAAAACTACAAGTGAGTTCTAACTTGCTCTCATTATAAAACAATTGTAAAGTTCTCTAGTTCTATGTCTATAAACGTTTCCCATTACAGTCATCATTGATATTATTTGTCCAGCAATACCAGCCAAAAATCTAGCTTTGTACAAAAACTTGCCTTTGCCTATATTGTTCAATGTCTTGTCAATAACAGAAAGAAGTTTTCGACTCTCTCTTCGGTTATACTCAATTTTCCAAATTGCATTTCCCAAAATAACCCTATCCAAGTAATATTCTGTACAGGCAACCATATACATTTCTCTTCTGCTAATAAAATACCAAACTCTGTCAAACTTTGTCTTATAAAAGTGCTAACACGGTGTGCGCAATCGAAATTACAGTCTCCACCCAAACCATTATCGAAATACATTATGATTCTCAAACCTTGACTCATCCAATACTTAACAACTTCTTTTGTCAGTTTGGTAAATATATGACCAGCACTAGCAATTCCAAAATACAAAAATCTGGATGTCCCTTCAAAATGCCAACTCAAACCTAAATACTTTCTGTGGTCTTGAAATATTTCTATATGATGATAGGCGCTTTTTAAATCAAAACGAAACAGATAATTCCTTTATTAAATAGTTGCTTTGCAATTGACCCATCCTCAAACTTAAATCTAAACTGATGTATGCACTCATTGATGTGTCTGCAATCAAGAACCATTCTAGGTTTTGCTGATCTGTTATATGCCACCGTTAGCGGATTTACTACATACGGTATTTCTTGTACTTCTGAAATACACTTCTAATAATTTAGAAATTTCAGCATTTACAAAAACAGAATTATCTAAAGATGATTTATTATTTCTGAGAACACAGCTATCTGGAAGAGTTTTAAATGCTATACCAAAACCTTCCTCGATTACTTTTAAAATGTACTCACTTGTACCCGACTCCTTCCATTTGTGTATTGCTTTATGTAATTTACCTAAAGGTGTCAAAACATTCACCTGTAAATTTAAATGGCCAGACTTCTGGTCATTACCCTCGTCATATCTGACTGAACAGTTAACACAATTGACCATGGATTCCTGTACCTCTTTGTGAACAGAATTCATTTAACGACCCCCCTTCTAAATCAAGCTTAAATCCCAAGCTAAATTACAACAGTTTACTTTTACTTAACTTTGGTCGCTTCTTTTCATCACACTCATTCAGTCAATGACCAGGCTTGTAATAATTGTAACAGATTTCTTCCTTGATACTGTCTGTCGATCTCTGCTTCCACTGGAACTCACTGCTTTTGCATAAGGGTCACCCCGGGATCTCCTCTTTACTCTGTCTGTTTTGATCTTCATTTCAGATCTGTTTTGTGCCCGAAATATCTTTCAGTCGTCCTCGGAATTATCCGCCAGAGGATTTGCAGTATACTCCTGCACCAATTTCCACCCACACTCTGAAGAATCCGCCATTTTTACCAATTTTTGCCGATAATTTAAAAGTTCAATACCTTCAGATATCTTCTGTTAAGCCCTTGCAGAAGGTGAATCTTTTGGCTCTATAACAGCTTCAGCTTCTTTCAAAGCAACGGACACTTTCTGGTTATACTTATACCGATCTTCACAACTCTTCCTCTGGAATTTATAACTGTCTGTTGCAATTGATAAAAGATCATTATGAATACGGTTGAACTGTGCGTCCGAACATTCTTTCTGTTGTTGATCATATATTTGAAATTTAGAAGTAAATAAACCGTCCAACTTTGATAGAAATTAATTCTGCGATCTATTTTCCTCTTCGCTAACGATACGCTTAACATTATTTTATAAGTCATCTATAGCGTGACGGTGAACGACACTCACAAAATACGATGTTGACAGTACGAAGTACAGGCTAGAATTAACTATTTAAAATCGTCGCTTTACAACCTAATTTTTTGACGCCAAAAATTCCTACGCCTACACTTACAAGTATTACACATGCGCAAAAAGACAATCAATTCCCGTTATACTTATGTGCCTTGGGAATTTTTTATTATCCTCAATCAGAAAGGAATAAATATGAAAAAACTAAACAGGTTGTGCTGCTTAAAAGGAACTGCGCTTATTCACTAGGTAATGCATTTTGTAAATATTTTTTTTTTATATTTCCGATTGTACTGCCGGTTAATACATCAGTTAGATGTAATTGTAAAATTATGTAAATTTCTTCGAAAAATGTTTTCCTATGTTTTATCATGATAAAATGACCAGTTAGTTTTATGTTTTCATTGTACAGAAATTTTTGCAACTGAAATGGTGAAAACCGTTTTTCTTCGGAGAGGGGTGGGGGAGTAGTTTCGCTTTTCAAATATTAACATGGATTTATGGAAAAATTCATGTAAATATATAATGTCTTTCTAATAAATTACTAAACGTATTGATAATTTGCAAAATAATATAAAAATAAGTGTAATTTTTTATAAATAATCTATTTATAATATACCAATATACATATGAAACTTTAAATACAAAATTGAGTAAAAATAATAAAACGATAACATTTTTTTTGTGTGATCAAGAGAGATGAATTCAATTTGTCATTGTATCGGTTATAATAAGGTTAAAGAATAAATTGTGCATTCTTAATATCAAAACATCAAATGAAAACCTATAAAGATTTAGTAATGAACAGGAAAAGGAGAATATATCAGGTTTTTGTACACTTTGTTTCATAATCAATGTTCAATGAAAAATCATTCATGTATAGCATTTTATAGTGCCGGAAAACCAATGTACTATGAAAAATAGAGGGCAAAATACCGATATACCATTGGACGAGAAGGAATGAGAAGGTCCAAATTATGTAACACCTTTGTTCCTTACTGAAAAGACATCATATTATGCATTTCATAGAAATACATACTTCCGTTTATCTTCAATACCTCTCTGCTTGTTCGCGAGTGCTAGAGGTTATTGGATTGATCCCTGACTGGGTCAGACCAATGCTTTTAAAATTGGCATTTGCTGTGGCTTTGCTAAGCTTGGGAATCAACATAATCATCATCATCTTCATCTATAATGATATTAATTGCTTTAGAGTTGATTTCCCTCACTCACTTCTCTATGATTTACTGATCTTATATTTTATTTGTAGATGTACCTGATTCTAAAACATTTGATGTAACTCTAGTGATAACATTACTTAGAAACCTGGCAAACTTGTCCCCGTGTCATGGTGACTATGACTTGTTGCCACCTCCTAATGAAACAACACCTACTTCAGATTTGGCCAGGATTAAATATTACAGAAATATGCTGGCTCACCTGGATGAGGGGAAAATGGATAATGTTATGTTCATCAAAGCATGGAACGATATTACTGGAGTAGGTATATTAAAACAATACCATATAATTCCATTTTCCTCAGAATTGGATGATACCCTAAAAATAATAGCAGGACTCGACATTAACTTGCCATTCGGACAGTTACGTGACCATGTATTGATTATGTGAAAGATAAGTCAAAAGTGACTTACTGATCAAAATTTTACAATACCATTTTGAGCATGTTAAGACATTAAATTATGTAAACTTCAGCATGTTTAGCTTTGTGTTTTTCTGGTATTCTGACGAAAAACTTGACATCATAAGAGTCAGTTGCCGTGCTATCTTTAATCAAAGGGGATTGGCAATACCATTTTACAACGTAATGAGCACATTACCAAAAAAGAAATAAAACAATCGTACCGGGCTCTTATGCATAATCTGGAATCGTTTACCTGAAGGGGTTAGTTTAATATTTATTTATATATTTTTCTATCTTCCATTATCATATTAATTCCACTCGTTAACAACTTTGAAAATCGATAATATTATGTTATCGTGTCCCGGATAATTTTTGTTTCGCCTGCGACGAAAGCCTAAGCATGCAAGACATAAAGATTACCTCATTTCATAGATAAGTGATCAAGGTTAAGTTTTCATGTTCCGAACATCAGATACAATAAGTAATTGGTCAACTGTGTTTGGTGTATGCAGTGAACTTAAGGTGTACTTGTCCGACTAGCAGGGCTCATCTGACCTTGAATATATTTGTATGGTTCATTGTTCAATGTTATGTTTGACGCTTTGGACTGTTTCTCAGATATTATAAACAAAAGGTAAGCTATATTGTTGTATGGACTGATTGTAAGGTGAACATATCAGTCTGACAGGTTTCATCTGAACTTAATTCTTTTTTCATGGTTCATTTTCACATGTCTGGGCTATAATTCAGATATTGTAGGTCAAAGGGAACTATTTGTGATGTATGGTATATTTGTCAGGTAGACATGTCTGTCTTGGGGGTTTTATCTGACATTAACTTTATGTTCATAGTTCATCGATTTATATTAAGGTGTCATAGTTATTGAACAGCTGTCTTATGTGGTTCTCTGATATTACATTTTGTTGTTTTATTATAACATGATGATATTTTGTCTTTACATAATATGGTTTTGACATTACGTAATGATGTTATGATATAACTCAATATGGAATAGTCATTACTTAATGATATTTCGATATTACATGATATGGTTTGTTTGTGACTTGATATAGTTGTGTTATTACTTAATATAGTTTTGTCATTACTCGATGTGGTTTCACAATTATTTTATGTGGTTGTGTCATTAGTCAGTATGGTTTTAACATTACTTGATGTGTATGTGGCTTAACGTAATGTAGTTGTTTCAATACATGATGTGGTTTTGTAATTCCTAATGATGATTTGACAAATCTTTATATGGCTTTAACTTTACATAATGATGTTTTTAAAATTTGATGATTTCACACTAAATGATGTGTTCGTTCCAGTGATTGATGTGGTTCTGTCATTCTTTGATGTGGTTTTCACATTACTTTATGAGGTACAACCACGTGACCATTTGGGAAAAGCTAGTCCAGTTCTATTTTTAAACCGATTTCCATATGTTTTATGTGCTTAGGATGAGTTTCGCTATTCATTGAGTTAAAGTTCAAATTAATGTTCGATTTGTTGTTCTGAGTTTTTTTTAATGAAAAATGGGAACGGCAGACAAATATAAGAAAAAAAAGTATAAAAAAACAACAATATTTCAGACATAAGGGGGATATCCTCACACCACTTGGTCCGGCCGTTTTTGTTTTTGTTTTCCTTAGTTCTCAAATGGATGCAGTATTATAATTATTTGGTGAAGGATTCCACGGAACCCTCTGTATCGCCTGAGATTGCTGCTGTCAGTTTAAAGTGAAATGATGACTGTAACAAGTCCATTTACCTGTAAAATGTTTGTTTTTCTGTAGATGCTTTATCTTGATCTTAAAGATTAACTCGTATACAATTTTTTATAATAATTTATGGAGGTTTACAAATTTCTCATCACAAAAAAGTTTAATTCGGTAATATCTCCTCCGGGGCTCGGACTAAGAGACAAAGCAACAATGCTATAAAATAAGAATTTTCCGATTATTTAAGCGTGTATGATCATTTGAACATATACGAATATCAATATTTTATATCTATAAATTGCATTCTCTGATATACTCGCACTAATTGCAGAAAAAAAACCAACTTTTTTGGGATATCTGTTTCATACCTGACGACATATATGTTCCAATTGTAGTAATCACAATCCCGTCCTCCTTTTCTTGAATGTGACCTACCAAAGTAGACCAAATCACTCGGTTTGTACTTTCACGAATAATACGACGGGTGCAACACATTGACCAGGATCTGCGTACCCTTCCGAAGCACCCGAGATCACCCCCGGATTTTGATGGATTTCTATTGCCCAGTCATATCGATCTATCGAGTTAAGCCAATTGCAACTGATTTTTAAAAGTTTTTTTCTTATGTTGTGCTGTTATACTATTGTCCCAGGTTAGGGTTAGAGCTGAGCGCCCACAGACATGTTCAACTCCGCCACATTCTTTACGTGCCTGTGCCTGTCCTAAGTCAGGACACTGTAGTTTAATAGTAGTCGTTTGTTCATGTTTGTCATATTTGTTTTTCGTAAATTGTTTTTTTTTTTATAAATTAGTTCGTTCTTTTCTCGTTTGAATTATTCCACATTTTCACATAGTGGCCTTTTATAGCCGACCAAACGGTGTATTGAAGGCCGTACGGTTGCCTATACTTGCTAACATATACTGCATTTAAACTCTAATGGATAGTTGTCTCATTGACAACCATACCACATATTCTAACTGTATTTAGATTTCTATGTTGTGTTTTGTAAACTGTAACATTGTTTATCTTTTGTGCGCATACCCCTAAGCCTTTTTTTTCGGAAGCACGAGCAAAAGCCCTTGATCATCGATAGAAAATTTTAATACGAACTTATATTTAGTTCGTATTTCAATTCGAAATCTTAATATAAATGAGACTCAAGTTCGAAGTCTAACTCGAACTCTACCTCAAAAGGTGACTCAAATCCAAAGTTGAAGTCGAATTGTAACTCGAACTCTGCCTTCAAACTCGAAGTTCAACTCGAAATCGAAGACTAACTCGAAGTTTAACTCGAATGGTATGCCTAACCTTAATTAAAACTCTAACTGGATGGAAGGCCACACTCATCCGAGGCACATGGTTCTTGTAATAGAACTAGTTTTTTTTCCAAAATGGTCACGTAGTTGTACCTCATAAAGTAATGTGATAACCACATCAAAGAATGACAGAACCACATCAATTACTAGAACGAACACATCATTTAGTCTGAAATCGTCAACATTTGAAGCATCATTATGTAATGTTAAAGCCATATAAAGAATTGGCAAATCATCATTAAGAAATAACAAAACCACGGCGTGTAATGAAACAACTACCTTACGTTAAGCCACATAGACATCCAGTAATGTTAAAACCACCTTGCCTAATAACACAACCACATAAAATAATTGTGAAACCACATCGAGTAATGACAAAACCATATTAAGTAATGACAAAACTATATCAAGTCAAAACGAAATCATATCATGTAATATCGAAATATCATTAGGTAATGACTATTCCATATCGAGTTATATCATAACTTCATTTCATAATGTCAAAACCATATTATGTAAAGACAAAATATCATCAAGTAATAATAAAACAACATAACGTAATATCGGAGTACCACATAATACAGCTGTGACGTTCCATACATAGTTGTGTCCATTTATCAGATTTTGTAAGCAGCCCGTCAGTTGTATTTGGTGTATTGAATGATTGTTAAATGTACACGTCTAAGTGGTAAGGTTCATCTGACCTTGACATCCTATCATGGTTCATTAGTCAATGTTCAATTTTGAAAGTTTGCTTCTTAGATACTGTAAGTAAAGCAGGAGAGAGATTTCAACATGTGCACATCATAATCGTACTCTGATCAGCCAATGTTTTTAACATGGCTATAGTATAAAAAAAACGTTCATGTAATGATATTCTTAATGGTAACTGATATGATTTATTTGTGAAAAAAAAATAAAAAATAAAGATTATATTCAGTATTTATGATCATGACCGTCTTTCATTTTTCCTGATCCTGACACAGCAGATTTCATTTGCCCGATGATGACTACATGTATCACAATGATCCATTGTCCTCCGGTAATACCGAATCCTGCATAGATATGATAGAACTGTTTTGATTTGTCACATAGATGGTTTGTTTGTTTTTATTCAATTTGAATAAAGATTCATAAAAGGACATTTGGAGCATTCATAAAAAAGATAATTGAAGACTTGCAACAGATCCACCAACAAAACAAATTATTTTAGGAAAAGTAAATTCTAAGATTGAAGCACATGATTTGAGAGAGGCACGTGTTTGGGAAAGCTTTAATCGACATTCGTTTTGTTTGTTAATAAAACCATCTGATGTAAATATTATATTATGTCTTTCCTGTGTCCACGATATTTACCTTTAATCATCATTGGCAGGTAAACCGAAGCCATTATGAGCAGCTAATATCCTATCAACTGTTGATTGTTCAATCAAACTATAATCACTTGTTAATTAGCCTCAGAGTCAAAATCGACCGGAGTATGTGTAATATTAGTTACACAGGAAATCTTTCATTAAAGATACGTATACGTTCGAGAAACTAGTTTGTTTACTACTATCAATAGGAAATGTTTGTTAACAAAGGTAATAATAAAGGTGTCTGAAACTTTAAATTCATGGCTTTGCATTGGCAAATTTAGGTCTGGTAGGTTTGTTACTCGACATGGGCTCATTAAGTTGTGGTTGGTGCATGGCTTGGTACAGGTACATTTAAGCGTGACAGGGTTGTGGCATGGTACTGACCCATTAAGTATTGACCAGTTTGTCCTTAGTGTTGTGTATACAGGTGTGAGATGTTTGTGCTTGAAATAGTCACATATAGGTGTGCAAGGTTTGTGTTTGACACACGCTCATTAAAGTGTGGCAGATTTGTGCTTGATATAGTCATGAATAAGTGTGCGATGTTTGTGCTTGATACAGGCCCTTTAAGTTGTGGCAGGTTATGTTTGATATAGTCATGTATTGGTATGCCAGGAAGAGTACGTGGCATATTATAGGCATGGTAAAGGTACACTAAGGTGTGACAAGTTTATGGCTAGTAAGATGCACATTAAGGTGTGTTAAGGTCGTTGCTTGGGAAAAGCATA